TCTGGCAGCGCAGCTGCTCGAGTCTGACACCAAGGAAAGGATGCGGGGAGGGACCCGGCCAGGAGCAGCACCCCGAGGGTGCCCAGCGGGTGAGGGAGCTGCGGGGAGCAGGAGGTGATGGATGGACCCTCCTCCCCCCCCTCATGCTCGTGGCACGGAGGTCTTTGGGGTGCAGCAGCTGGTTTTTGGGCTCCCTTTAGGGCTGGGGGGTGCCCCTCTGCAGGAGTTTGCTCTGGGTTTGGGTGCTGCTGCCCAGCTCCCAGGATGGATCCAGCTGGGATCCAGCTCCCGGGATGGATCCGAACGGGGAAGAGCAGGGATGTGGTTGGGATGTGACCAACACTGCCAGGGCTGCACCTCAGCCTGGCTTTGCCCTCCTGGCTCCTTCCTGTGCTCTGTGCCACAGGGGTCTCACCCTGCCCTGTATCCATCCATCCATCCATCCATCCATCCACCCATCCATCCATCCACCCATCCATCCATCCACCCATCCATCCATCCACCCACCCATCCCTCCATCCATCCCTTCTACTCCACACCCTTAAATAGCCCCCAATCCCAATGCCCTGGGGTCCCTACAGCCCCTATAACACCACCCCCCAACACCCTGGGGTCCCTCCAGCCCGTGGGACACCTGCAGGAGCAGGTGACAGGGAGAACTTCCCCCTTCCAGGTGAGCCCTGCCCTGCAGGCACCGCTGACCTCAGGTAATTAAGCTCATCTGCTGGAGATAATTATGGCATCAGTCAAACAACAACAACAACAACAAAAAAAAGGAGAAAACAGGCAGGATGGAAGTTAATGGATTTTTAGCCCGGAAGGGACCGTTCTGGCCTGATGCTCACAAAATGTGCTCCCCCAGCCCGAGCAGGGAGCAGCAGCCCCCCAAAACTGTTGCTGGCACCGGGGTAGAGCCACAGCCCCCCTCCCCAGTGCCCCTCACTCAGGGCACCCCCGTAGGCACAGGACCCTCGTGCACCCCAGGGTGCTGGAAAGCTGGGAAGGGCAGGTCCTGCAGTGGGGGGACACAATTCCAAGCGCTCCAGGGGGGGAATCTCTGCCATTTTTTGCCTGGGGGAGCAGGACCCAGGCACCCCCAGAGCCCAGGGAGGGGACAGCAGTGGCTGCTCCGACCTTGGCCTCCAGCAGCCCATTAATGAGCCACCTCGGAGGGAAACTGAGGTTTTATTGCTCTGCCTCGCTAACGATTCCTCCTGCTCTGGGATAATAAACCCACAGCTCAGCCCCCACAGATCCTGCCTCCCGCCCCTGGCACCCCTGGGGGGGCTCTGCTGCCCCTCAGCCCCTCCCACAGCCCCCCCTGAGGGGGTGGGACCCGCTCACAGCCACCCAGAACGTGGATCATCCCAAACGTGCCGGGACAGGGCACCTTTTCAGGAGGCTCCATCCATCCCTGGGGAGTTTAAATGACTCCACACCCGGGTTCCTGCTTTGCTGGAGGTGCTTTTGGAGGGGTCCTGATCCTGCCTGGAGGGTGCCACCCTGGGATGGGCAGTGCCAGGACCTGCCTGTGCAGGGATGGATGCTCCCCGCTGCCACCCCACCGAGGGTCACCCCGCTGTCCATCCAGAGGAGGGGGAGATGCACCCACCCAGGGGCATGCAGGGTCCCACCCCACGCCCCTCCCAGCTGGGGAAGACTCTGTGGGTGCAGAATAAATCCCTGCAGTGACCAAAACCCACCCTGCACCCCCAGCCTGGGCACAAAGGCCTTGTCCCCCCCCCATTCCTCAGTATTTACACCTTCAGGGACAGTTTTACCCAAGCCCAGACCCTCCCCTCCTTCAACAAGGGGCTCCTGCAGCTTCAGAAGAACCCAAATGCTCCCTGTGGGATCTGTGGGATTTGAAACCCCCCCCCCACCGTGGTGGCAGGGAGGGGGTGGAGAGGAGGGGACACAGCCCCCTCTGCTTGTTGTCCCCGAGCTGCAGAGATGCCACGCTGGGAAATGACCCATTTCCTGCTGAACCAGCACTTAGAGAGGGTTAACAGGATCCCAGACTGATCCCAGACTGATTCCTGCCACGGTAGCAGCAGCAGCATCTCCCCCAAAGCCCCCAAACCCGGGACCCTGGAGCTGCCCCCACCAGTGTGGGAAGCAGGGAGCGCTCGGAAGGGGAAGGGAAGGAGTGCAGCCACCCAAAGCCAAACAAAAGCCACCCAAAGCCAAACAAAACCCACCAAAAGCCAAACAAAAGCCACCCAAGGCCACGGGGACGAGGGTGCAGGAGGTCCC